ACCCTCTCAACTGTGTTAAAAATACTTTGATCATAAACAGCCAAACGAATTTTAAAAATATATACTGAAATTATCGTAAATTTGCAAAATAAATGTAATATATAAACATATAAAAAAAACTGTTTAGTGAGTATTAAAAATAACTGTCTTAGTGTACATAAACTAAATGCGAGATTATAACTTTCTGAAGTGATTTATGTTACTGGCTGAAAGTGTGCTATTCACCTTTCACGATAATGGTGATTTTGTTTTCTTTATATATACAGTATTACAATATTGATTGATTTATCATTTTGAAAGCCTATCCACTACACAAAGGGTCATAAAGGCTATACATCACTTGTGGACAGGGAACAATGCTTTCATCCCTGTAATAAGGACTGAAACAAACACACTGATATACACTTCTCCTAGTGTGTATACACTGTTCTCATTGCATGCGCAGCAAGAAGATTTACAACACTACCTTTCTACTGACCATGCTATTGGAACCTTCAGTAAGGGTTCAGTCCTGTCTCATACTGGACTAAGTCACTACCTACGACCCCCTAGATTGCATGTCTGCAGAATTCTTCCGTTCCCACAATAACAAAACGAAAGATTAGACACATGTACAACATCTGGGTATCTTTACTGTAGATGTTTCGCCATCCAGTGGCTTTATCAATATAATGAGTGGATATAATGTGAAGAATGTAGAAGTATACCTGGAGTATACCTGGAGAGGGTTTCGGGGGTCAACGCCCCCGCGGCCCGTCCTCATGGTGAATCAGGGTCTGATCAACCAGGCTGTTACTGTTGACCGCACGCAACCCGACGTACGACCTACAACCCGGCTGGTCAAGTACTGACTTTAGATGCCTGTCCAGCGCCTTCTTGAAGACAGCCAGGGGTTTACTGGTAATCCCCCTTATGTATGCTGGGAGGCAGTTGAACAGTCTTGGACCCCTGACACTTACTGTGTTGTCTCTTATCGTGTTAGTGGTGCCCCTGCTTTTCATTGGGAGGATGCTGCATCGTCTGCCGAGTCTTTTCCTTTCATGGGGAGTGATTTTCGTGTGCAAGTTTGGTACTAATCAAGTGCATATATATATAATCGTGTATCTCTCCCGCCTGCGTTCTAGGGAGTACAGGTTGACGAACTTCAAGCGCACCCAGTAACTGAGGTGTTTTATTGTAGTTGTGTGTGTTATAAAGGTTCTCTATACATTTTCTAGGTCAGCAATTTCACCTGCCTTGAAAGATGCTGTTAGTGTGCAGCAATATTCCAGCCTAGACAGAACAAACGACCTGAAGAGTGTCGTCATGGGCTTGGCATCCCTAATTTTGAAGTTTCTCATTATCCATCCTGTCATTTCTCAAGAAGAAAAATGAGGTAATCAGACCCTCAGGCTTGGAGTCGAAGAGCATCATACAACACACTTCACCAGCTTCAAGGTCGAGGGACTAATTACATTACCTCTTCTATATAATTCTACTGTCTACCAATCATGTCCTTGAATTTGTATTAATAAAACCAGTGGATAGCGAAACGTCTACAATAGATACCCAGATGTTGCATACGTTTCTAACTCATCTTGTGGGTATTGTATACATGTTCCCACCGCAACGCAGTCAATGTAATCAAAAACTAACAGGCGTAATTTTTAAATGGATTACATGGGACTGAACAGGGGGCAAAGCTTTTAACCATATTAACTGAGAACAGTATAGCGCAGAACATTACTAAGTTGATCAGGCCCTGATCCATCGGGAGGCCTGGTCGTGGACCGGGCCGCGGGGGCGTTGATCCCCGGAATAACCTCCAGGTAAGGTCTTCTATACGTGATACGTGATAAGCAAGACATGTGCAACAGTTAGATATCTTAATTCCGAAACGTTTCGCTTACACAGCAGGCTTTTTCGGTCGAGTACAGATGAGTAAGCAGACGTGTGTCTTACTTATCAACCTGTTGGTATTATATGCACCATTTTAACATTCGTCTTCTCTACGTGTTACATCAGAGTAGCAGCAGCCAACGCCACCACCACCATCACGAACCTAACCACGACCATAACAGTAAGTCTCAGTAACAATCACACCCATATTTTACATCATCCTGCGCGGAGGTTGACGTAAGGTTTACGTGGGCTGAATTTTAAGAAATTTAAATATATTGGAAAGAATACATATATTGTTACTTACAGGTGGAAACATTAGGACGTATTTCCTTAAGACACCTGCTGTCCATGTTCACCTATGAGTAAAATAGGTACCTGGGTGTTAGTGGACTGGTGTGGGTCGCATCCTGGGAACAAAACTGACCTAATTTGCCGGAAATGCTCTGCATAACAAGGTGCGTTTTATATAGTAGTATGTTACTGATGTCAGCTAGGACTGTATACACTGTACACGTATATATTTATTTTATTAACACATCGGCCGTTTCCCACCAAGGCAGGGTGGCCCGAAAAAGAAAAACTTTCATCATTCACTCCATCACTGTCTTGCCAGAGGCGCACTTACACTAGTTATAAAACTGCAACATTAACACCCCTCCTTCAGAGTGCAGACACTGTACTTCCCATCTCCAGGACTCAAGTCCGGCCTGCCGGTTTCCCTTAGTCCCTTCGTAAATGTTACCTTGCTTACACTCCAACAGCACGTCAAGTCCTAAAAACCATTTGCCTCCATTCGCTCCTGTCTAACATGTACTTGTAAAATAAAGATTATTTTTATTATTATTATTATTACTATTGAAAATACGCTTTTGATGCTCATCGCAACGCTCATAATCGTCTCATAAAGTGAAAGGACACAAAAGTAGTTATAATCTGGGGTCTGGAAGCTTCTCTGATATTAGCATGGATACACTTACTCTCTCAAACAATCTGTCCTTATCCAACCTATTAATTCTCAGTATTTTCTACGTTATCATTTCACCGGTAGTCCTACCCCGTCCCCTCCATTGTCATCAGACCGAGTTCCTTTAATCTTTACTCACAGAAAATACTCCTCAGCTCCGAGACCTCGACAGTGTGTGTGTGTGTGTGTGTGTGTGTGTGTGTGTGTGTGTGTGTGTGTGTGTGTGTGTGTGTGTTAGAGACAGGGAGGGAGGGAGAGAGAGAGAGGAGAGAGAGAGAGAGAGAGAGAGAGAGAGAGAGAGAGAGAGAGAGAGAGAGACAGACAGACAGAGACAGACAGAGACAGAGACAGAGACAGACAGAGACAGAGAGACAGAGACAGACAGAAAGAGAGAGAGAGAGAGAGAGAGAGAGAGAGAGAGAGAGAGAGAGAGAGAGAGAGAGAGAGAGAGAGAGAGAGAGAGAGAGAGAAAGAGAGAGAGAGAGAGAGAGAGAGATTGATCAAGAGAACGTTGTATATATCATGTGTGTGACAGGTGATATTTCTTCACATAAAGGGTGGGTCACCTCACAAAACTAATGCAACTTCAGAGTAAGGGTCTAGTGTCACAACAAACATGTGTCATTGATTTTACCAGCAAGTTAGCTGTATACACAGGTAACCCAGGAACATTAATAAAAAATAATAATAGTAATAAGTTAATAATAATAACAGAGCAACAACAACAACAACAGAGCAACAACAACAACAGAGCAACAACAACATAGCAGCAGCAACAACAATAATAATAATAATAATTAGAAGAATTGTTTTAACAGAAGGTTTCTTTAACATTTATCTAACTTTCAACATAACATTTTTTTTTCTGAGTGGTAAATTTGGGGTTTTAACTGTTAGCTTAATAGTGGCCAGCGCGGTTCTATACTTGCGTGTTCACCCTTCCATTACTAGCTTATGGCTCGCAAATTCGCTTCGTGACCAGGAATTTCACTAAGCTATACTCACTCTTATTCACACTCAACACAACGCAACACCACACACACACACACACACACACAGCTCATGGTGCAGGGAGAATGACCCAGTAGCGGCCAGTGAAGAGGCGGGGCCAGGAGCTATGAATCGACCCTTGCAACCACAACTAGGTGAGCACAACTAGGCGAGTACACACACTAGAAAGTGACGTAGTGGAGGCAGGAACTATACGAGGCTTGATAAAGCTCATGGAGCAGAGAGAGGACCTAGTAGGAATCAGTGAAGAGGCGGGGCCACGAGCTATGAATCGACCCATGCAACCACAAATAGGCGAGTACACACACACGCGCGTACGAACGTACGTAGTATCCCTGAAACGAATGCAACTATTTACAATACCCCTGCGTGTTTGCTGTAGTTTGCCTCTTCAATAAGTTTACACCTTATCCGTCCAATAATGCTACTCTAGTTCATCGCCGTGAGTTTACACTAATTTGCATCTTCACCGTGATTTTACAACTGTTTACCTCTTCGCTGTAAGTTTACTCTATGTAGTGGCTGTGTTTATAAATTTACCTCTGCATTGAGTTTATACACATTTACCCCATCACCTTGTTTCCTTTTGTGCGAGTTTACCTTTCCAGTGTGAGTTTATCTTAGTTTACCTCTCCACCAAGAGTGAATCTAAGTATGTACTCTTTCTCTAATGCGAGTTTAGTCAGAGTTTACCTTTCCAGTATGAGTTTATCTTAGTCTACCTTTCCACCAATGGTTTCAATCAATATACCTCTCTCTCATAAAATCCCAATATTGAGAGATTAGTAATAATATTTATTTCTATAAGTACATGTACAAGGTATACAGGCCTATCTGATATCAATAGCATGCTATATAGAAAGTCCCCTTGTTATACAGAGCATTTCGGGCAAACTCCAGGCAAACTCCAGGATGCGACCCACACCAGTCGAATAACACGTACCTATTATATTGATAGGTGAACATGGACAGCAAATGTCTTAAGGAAACACGTCCTAATGTTTCCAGCGGTACCAGAGATCGAATCACTGACCTCAGTGTGTAAGGTGAGTGAGCTACTAACCCAGTTATGGGTCACCTTACCACCATGCTTTCACAATTTCAATGTAAGTACATACACACAAGCCATGCATTATGAGTTTACCTGTCGTAAATAATGTCCTTAGCGCCTAGGAGAGCTCTCGGAGGCCCATGCATCCATTCTCTGAGGTCCACCATGGGGAAAAATCTTTCCTGGCAGGTAGCCTTAACGTGCTGGGCGCGGCGTTCCTGCTCCTTCAGGAACTTCCACAAAGCCTGTAGCAGAAACAGTAATAAATATATCATTAGAGTAATTCTTTACATACACAATTTTTAATGGGGTGGACCGGTAAGCCAGCAAAAGACCTCAGTCAGATGACCAAAAACTCCAACTGCGGTTTATCATATGACTAAAGACCCGCCTTAGAAAACACTAAATGTCTACTCACCGCATATACGCTTCGAGTTTAATTTCTATCCTAGTTCGTCACTTGACAAGTGACGAACGTTTTACGACCCTCGGGTAGTCAACAGGCTGTGAACCTAAATAACCAGCCAACCATGGATATATACACAGAGGTATATGGTCTTTGTGTATAAATGAAAGGTTATTTTCACTGTTTTAGGGGTTTAGTTATTACTGAGAGGTTTCGAACATGCTATATGTAGCTTTAATGACCCTCGTGTAGCCGATAGATTTTTAAACCCCCGTAACCAACCTGGTCTTGTTGGTAAGCGCTAATCTCGTACGAGTCATACAGCGCCAGAGAATTAAGTGTTAATCTAGTGTGATCCAAGGCAAGACAGGCCAGCTCCACTTTCTTGGATCAATAACCTTTCACCAACGTCATGTTTGATACCGTTTTTGGAGGGTCAATAGGGTAAGAATGTAGCCTAGGTAGACCAGCAAATGCTTAATTAACAAGTCATTATCTGATTAAGACCCATGCCGGGGGGGGGGGGTCACGGTCCTCTTTCCTGACGAACAAAACACCAACACCACGCGTTTATACATTAAAGAGATGTATATTTCACAGTATACATGCGCTAAGTTTACTTACAATGCATATCTTTGGCATTAGAGCATTCGTAATTATAATGCAGCCTAAATGACCAGCACGTAAGGTAAACCAACACCACGAATACAGCGCATTTAAGCCCAAACAGATGACACGCCATCGGCATTACCAGCTTTATCCTTCGCTAATAACACATTCTGGAAAAACTGTAATTTGTGTTCTCTTTGCGTGACAATTAACTGAATGCAAAATTTGAGGGCAGAGTAAATATTGTTTTTTTTTAGTTTAGAATACTAAAAGGCTCCTGAATAAGCAAGCATGATGTGAAGGGAGTCTGGGCTAAATTTGCGCTTGGACGATTGTATGCATGTCATTTTAGCTTGAAAAAAAATATTAAAGTGGAGTGAGGTGTAACTGAATGTACTATAGTTGATCAAAAGCGCAAAATGAGATGGTGATAAATAGTGATTATCCGGGAAGTGGCATCAGAATGAACGTTTTTTTTTTTTTTGGGGGGGGGGGAGGGGTCACGGATTACATGTCAAGATATATAGCTAGGTTTATTCCCGTTTCTAGATTACATGAAATTAATGAGCAGAAGAAAACTAGAGAGGATAAAGAATGACTACAACTGATGTGAAGATGTAGCAGCTACAAGACTGGTCTGACAAGTGGTGATGAATTTAACCCCCCAACATATACTGTTACTTCTCGTAACATGCAACAATAGTAGACCCGGGAGAACAGGATGAAAACTACCCTCACTGAGGACCTGGAGCTGAGCTTAGCACCAAGTATATCGCCTGAGGGACACGTCAATTGAATAACTTCTTCAGCGAATACCTATTTGACAAATTTAAGAAGTTCAGCTTTCCGGAACCTCAACCCCCCTCAAAAAAAAATCTTTAACCACCCTATATGCGACATGCCAAGTCCATCTTGGAGTATGCAGCACCAGCGTGAAACCCACACCCGATAAAGGATTTGAAAAGACTGGAGAAAGTGCAGACATTTGCAACGAGACTAGTTCTGGAGGCATAGATAATGAGCTATGATGAGTCTAAATGAACGAAACCTGATTACATTACAGGACTTGATAATGTAGACAGGAAGAGACTGTTGGAGAAGCGAAAAACTGGTACACGAGGGCTTAGATGGTATATAAAAACTGAGATGAATCACATGGACATCAGGAAGTATTTGTACATCCTTAGTAAGTTTATTTAGGCATACGTACACATAAGTATAATTATTATTCAGTGTAAATTATCTAGGATAACTCACAAAAAAGTCAAAGCGACTTATTTCCATCAGCGCGCAGTAGGCTAGGAGAGTCAACACGATAATGGCAATTTTAACACCAGAGCAGACTCAAACCCTCAGCACGCGCACGCGCGCACACACACACACACACACACACACACACACACACACACACAACACACACACACACACACACACACGGGGCCAGGAGCTTGGAATCGACCCCTGCAACCTCAACTAGGTGAGTACACACACGGTACGTGGCGAGGTGTCAGAGTGGGCACCTGTGACCAGCGGGGTCCCACAGGGGTCAGTCCTAGGACCAGTGCTGTTTCTGGTATTTGTGAACATGACGGAAGGAATCAACTCCTAAGTGTCCCTGTTTGCAGATGACGTGAAGTTAAGAAGAATTAATTCGATCGAAGACCAGGCAGAACTACAAAAGGATCTGGACAGGCTGTAGACCTGGTCCAGCAATTGGCTCCTGGAGTTCAACCCCACCAAGTGCAAAGTCATGAAGATTTGGGAAGGGCAAAGAAGATCGCAGACGGAGTACAGTCTAGAGGGCCAGAGACTACAAACCTTACTCAAGGAAAAAGATCTTGGGGTGAGTATAACACCAGGCACATCTCCTGAAGCGCACATCAACCAAATAACTGCTGCAGCATATGGGCGCCTGGCAAACCTCAGAACAGCATTCTGACATCTAAACAAGGAATCGTTCAGGACCCTATACACCGTGTACGTTAGGCCCATATTGGAGTATGCGGCACCAGTTTGGAACCCACACCTAGCCAAGCACGTAAAGAAACTAGAGAGTGCAAAGGTCTGCAACAAGACTAGTCCCAAAGCTAAGAGGTATGTCCTACGAGGAAAGGTTAGGGGAAATCAACCTGACGACACTGGAAGACAGGAGAGATAGGGGGATATGATAACGACATATAAAATACTGAGAAGAATCGACATCGTGGGCCGAGACAGGATGTTCCAGAGATGGGACACAGCAACAAGAGATCGCAGTTGGAAGTTGAAGACACAGATGAATCACAGAGATGTTAGGAAGTATTTCTTCAGCCACAGAGTAGTCAGTAAGTGGAATAGTTTGGGAAGCGATGTAGTTGAGGCAGGATCCATACATAGCTTTAAGCAGAGGTATGACAAAGCTCACGGTTCAGGGAGAGTGACCTAGTAGCGACCAGTGAAGAGGCGGGGCCAGGAGCTTGGAATCGACCCCTGCAACCTCAACTAGGTGAGTGCAACTAGGCGAGTACACACACACACACACACACACACAGTACGAAAACAACATAGCAGCGAAAGTCAAGTCTGACCTGAAACTGCTACATAGCCACATGAGGAGGAAGACAACAGTCAATGACCAGGTAATCAGGCTGAGGAAAGAAGGTGGGAAGCTCACAAGAAAAGATCAAAAGGTATGCGAGGAGCTCAACACCAGATTTATGGAAGTATTTACAGTGGAGGCAGGGACTCTGGGAAGACAGAACAGAGGGGTACACCAACAAGGGATATACGAACAAGTGTTGGATGAAATACACACATCTGAGGAGGAGGTGAAGAAGCTGCTAAGTAACCTTGATATCTCAAAGGAGGTGGGACCGGACATCTCTCCGTGTGTCCTTAAAGAGGGAGCAGAGGCACTGTGTGCACCACTAACCACAATTTTCAACACATCCCCTGAAACTGGGCAACTACCTGAGGTATTGAAGACGGCAAATGTAGTTCCCATTTTTAAGAGGAGACAGAAACGAGGCACTAAACTATAGACCAGTGTCACTGACGTGTATAGTATGCAGTCATGGAGATTATCAGTAGGAGGGTGGTGGAACACCTGGAACGAAACATGATTATAAACGACAACCAGCACGGATTCATGGAAGGTAAATCCTGTGTCACAAACCTTCTGGAGCTTTATGACAAGATAACAGAAGTAAGACACGAGAGAAGGGTGGGTTGACTGCATTTTCTTGGACTGCAAGTAGGCCTTCGACACAGTTCCCCACAAGAGATTACTGCAGAAGCTAGAGGATCAGGCACGTATAACAGGAAGGGCACTGCAATGGATCAGAGAATACCTGACAGGGAGGTAACGAGTCATGGTATGTAATGAGGTATCACAATGGGCGCCTGTGACCAACGGGGTCCCACAGGAGTCAGTCCTAGGACCAGTGCTATTTTTGGGATATGTGAATGACATGATGGAAGGGATAGACTCAGAAGTGTCCCTGTTCGCAGACGATGTGAAGTTAATGAAGAGAATTAAAACAGATGAGGATCAGGCAGGACTACAAAGAAACCTGGACAGGCTGGCTTGGTCCAGCAACTGGCTACTCAAATTTAGCCCCGCCAAATGCAGTCATGAAGATCGGGGAAGGGCAAAGAAGACCGCAGACAGAGGATAGGCTAGGTGGCCAAAGACTGCAAACCTCATTCAAAGAGAAAGATCTTGGAGTGAGTATAATACCAAGCACATCTCCAGAAGCACACATCAACCAGATAACTGCTGCAGCATATGGGCGCCTGGCAAACCTGAGAACAGCATTCCGATACCTCAGTAAGGAATCGTTCAAGACATTGTACACTATGTACGTGAGGCCCATCAAGAAATTAGAGAAAGTGCAAAGGTCTGCAACACGGCTAGTTCCAGAGTTAAGGAGAATGTCCTACGAAGAAAGGTTAAGGGAAATCGGCCTGACGACACTGGAGGACAGGAGGGTTAGGGAAGACATGATAACGACATACAAAATACTGCGAGGAATAGATAAGGTAGAGACAGGATGTTCCAGAGATGGGACACAGAAACAAGGGGTCACAATTGGAAGCTGAAGACTTAGATGAGTCCATGGGATGTTAGGAAGTATTTCTTCTGTCAGAGTTGTCAGGAAGTGGAATAGTATGGCAAGTAATGTAGTGGAGCCAGGAACCATTCATAGCTTTAAGACGAGGTATGATGAAGGTCATGGAGCAGGGAGAGGA